GTCTTTCCTCAATATAAATCCAGATAATGGACACATTTCCGCACTAAAAAGTTTTGACTTTGAAACAGTGAAAACTTTCCAGTTCCAAGTTGTCGCCACAGATTCAGGAACTCCGTCACTAAGCAACAACGTGACAGTGAACGTGTTCATTCTGGATCAGAACGACAACGCTCCAGTCATCCTGTATCCAGTCAGCTCCAACGGTTCTGCTGAAGGTGTGGAGGAGATTCCCCGCAATGTCAACGCAGGACACTTGGTGACTAAAGTCAGAGCCTATGACGCTGATATAGGATATAACGGCTGGTTACTCTTTTCACTGCAGGAAGTCACTGACCACAGTCTCTTTGCTTTGGACCGCTATACAGGACAGATCAGAACACTTCGCTCATTCACAGAGACAGACGAGGCTGAGCATAAACTGCTCATACTGGTCAAAGACAATGGCAACGTTTCACTCTCAGCAACAGCTACTGTCATTGTCAAACTTGTGGAGCCCAGAGAGGCTTTTGCAGCTTCTGATGTTAAAAGTGCAACTAAAGTTGACGAGGAGGACAATGTGACATTTTACCTCATGATAACTTTGGGCTCAGTTTCTCTACTTTTTATCATCAGTATCATCGTGCTGATTGCAATGCAGTGCTCCAAATCCACAGACTATACTTCCAAATATCTCCAAGAGGCTAATTATGATGGGACACTGTGTCACAGCATCCAGTACAGATCTGGAGACAAACGCTACATGTTAGTTGGACCCAGGATGAGTATAGGATCTACTATAGTCCCTGGCAGCCATGCCAACACACTAGTGCTCCCTGACAGGAGGAGGGGATCTGGAGAGGTAAGAGCCTGAAAACAAAGTTATATATAACATGTTTATATGTACTCCGTTCTGTCATTGCTTTGTGCTTACTGATGGCATAGTTGTTTTTATCACCCCTCCATATTCTCTGGCACGCAGAACACTACCAGGCAGCTCGTAACAAATTTGACCATATCACAACTGATTTAACGTGAGGCTTGTTACCGGAATCTTAACCAGTAAATCTAACTTTGACGAGACATAATGTATTGCCCAGATGGTTTTCACTGTTTCCAAACCCACAGATGCAGGAATGCAAGTCAGAGCACTAAAAGCTTCATTCTTTTTCTTTATACAGTCTTGCGCATAACTCACTTACCACGTGTTCGTCATTTTCAAGCTGTAAAATACCAAGCATTTCAAATACGTAAAATAGTTCACCTTATGCTAACCATTTTAAGACCACAATCTTTGCCTGATTGTGACAGGTGGTACAGAAATTATTTGATTTTTTATTTCTCAAAGATTACAGCGCCTAAGAATTGCAAATGTGGACCCTGTGCGTGTATTATGTCCATAAAACTGCATACAACACCTAGACAGGCAAAACTCATGTTTAAGAGCTCTATCCATGGTGCTGAAACGCAATCCTCCCTTCTCCCGCCAACACTCCCACACACAGAACATGGTGGAAGAAGTTACGGACAGAAATGTATTAAAATTATTACTGTTGGAAACCCATTAACTGAAGTATTTTTAACAACTTCACCTCATACAACTTTTCAAAACAACATTTACATATAATCTAGACACACTGTACTCATTGTGTTTGCCAAACAATGTTAGAACCTTAATCAGGTGTTTATATGCTGAAATCGTATTTATTAAAATGTAAGTATATATAGACTTGTACTTTTCTCAGTAACCTCTGGGTGTCAGTATTATATTGGGAAACCAAAGGAAACTTCGTCCCTCCCCTCACGAAGCTTTTGTTTGCCCCCAGAAAAAGGCAGAACAGGCATTTGAATCCAGCTCGCCACCGGACGGAATTATGCTCTTTGTAAATATGCCACACACAGTGGGTATCATATAGACGTTTATTACAGTGACGTTTTGTTGTGTATTACTGTGCTGTTGGATAACGATGGGGATCGAAAGGCAAACTCGACGAAGGTTCTGCTCCTGGTTTGCTTTTCATTCGGCTCTGCTGTTGTTTGTCGGGAAACAGGCTTTGGCAGAAATAAGATATTCTATTCCAGAGGAGGTGAAAAATGGGACTGCTGTTGGAAATGTTGCGAAGGATCTTGGCCTTGACATCACCTCTTTGTTTGACCGACGGTTCCGTGTTGTTTCTGAATCTAAGGATGCATTTTTTGAGGTAAACCAGAACAATGGAGCTCTGTATGTCCATAAGAAAATCGACAGAGAGGAGCTGTGTCATGGCAGTGGTGCATGTCTCATGGAGCTAAAAGTCATAGTGGAAAACCCTCTGGAAATACACTATGTAGTTGTAGAAATTACTGATGTAAATGATCATTCTCCGAGTTTCCGCGAAAAAGAGCAGAGATTTGAAATAGGCGAACAAACATTACCTGGAAGGCGATTTCAACTACACACTGCTCGTGATCCCGATGCTGGAATTAACTCTATTCGTACATACACTTTAACATCAAATGAACATTTTGAAGTAGACATCCGCCAAAGCGACGAGGATAAGATACCATTTTTAGTGCTGAAGAAATCGTTAGACAGAGAACAAAAGAACAAACACACGCTGCTGGTTACAGCAGTTGATGGAGGCAAACCTCCAAGATCAGACAGGGTAAATGTTTCTATTATTGTTCTTGACAGTAATGATAATCGCCCAGTGTTTACTCAGGAGATTTACCAAATTGCAATAAATGAAAATGTTCCAATCGGTACGTCAATATTCAAAATGAATGCAACGGATCCCGATGAAGGCACCAACAGCGAAATTGAATACAGCCTCGGAAAAAATCTGAAGAAAAAAGTCCATGATATTTTTGAATTGGACAAATTAACTGGAGAGATTAGAGTTAAAGGAGTGGTGGATTATGAAGAAAACGACGTATATAAACTGGATGTGGAGGCGTCCGATAAAGGAACACCTCCACTGACAGGTGAGTGTAGAGTTGTTATAAAAATTACAGACATCAACGACAATCCACCAGAAATAGAAGTCACATCACTGTCAAATACAGTGTCTGAAGACTCAAAGCCTGGTACAGTTATTTCACTGCTTAGTGTGACTGACAAAGACTCTGGTGTCAATGGAAAAATAATATCAAGCATAATCTCAGACGTTCCTTTTGAATTAAAGCCCTCCTATAAGGAGAACATATATTCAGTTGTCACCAAGGGATTTTTGGATCGAGAGGAGGTGTCACATTATGACATTACAATAAAAGCTACAGATTGTGGTGACCCTCCCTTATCTACTGTTAAAACTCTCAGTATTGAGATATCAGATGTAAATGACAACAGACCACATTTCGACCAAAATCCATTACAGTTTTACCTGGTAGAAAATAACGTTGCTGGAAATTCAATATTCTCTGTCAGCGCAACGGACAAAGATTTGAATGATAACGCAGCTATTTCATATCATATTGTGAGAGAAGGGAGTCAGAGTGACGTCATGTCTTTCCTCAATATAAATCCAGATAATGGACACATTTCCGCACTAAAAAGTTTTGACTTTGAAACAGTGAAAACTTTCCAGTTCCAAGTTGTCGCCACAGATTCAGGAACTCCGTCACTAAGCAACAACGTGACAGTGAACGTGTTCATTCTGGATCAGAACGACAACGCTCCAGTCATCCTGTATCCAGTCAGCTCCAACGGTTCTGCTGAAGGTGTGGAGGAGATTCCCCGCAATGTCAACGCAGGACACTTGGTGACTAAAGTCAGAGCCTATGACGCTGATATAGGATATAACGGCTGGTTACTCTTTTCACTGCAGGAAGTCACTGACCACAGTCTCTTTGCTTTGGACCGCTATACAGGACAGATCAGAACACTTCGCTCATTCACAGAGACAGACGAGGCTGAGCATAAACTGCTCATACTGGTCAAAGACAATGGCAACGTTTCACTCTCAGCAACAGCTACTGTCATTGTCAAACTTGTGGAGCCCAGAGAGGCTTTTGCAGCTTCTGATGTTAAAAGTGCAACTAAAGTTGACGAGGAGGACAATGTGACATTTTACCTCATGATAACTTTGGGCTCAGTTTCTCTACTTTTTATCATCAGTATCATCGTGCTGATTGCAATGCAGTGCTCCAAATCCACAGACTATACTTCCAAATATCTCCAAGAGGCTAATTATGATGGGACACTGTGTCACAGCATCCAGTACAGATCTGGAGACAAACGCTACATGTTAGTTGGACCCAGGATGAGTATAGGATCTACTATAGTCCCTGGCAGCCATGCCAACACACTAGTGCTCCCTGACAGGAGGAGGGGATCTGGAGAGGTAAGACCTTCTTTGTGAAATCCCTAACTTGTTTCCACTGGCAGTGTTATACATTTGTTTGTTCAGGAATTATTCCAGTCCATCACCTACTGCATATACTGAATGTGTACTTTTTGGGGCATTGCTATATAAATTTATGAGGTATGACGCTTGACTGATATCCTCTGGTTTTAGCATAGCTGTAACAACAGCAGTTAATACAGATTGATGCATATGCTGACCATCTGTCTGTCAGTTTGTTGTCTCCTTCTTTTTCACTACACTCTATAAAACACACGTGTAAGTTTAGATAACACCGTGTTGCATTTGCCATTGTTTGCACATAGCGCTGCGTTCTTGTTGTTGGAGATAGTTTGCAGTTTAAATAACGTCCAATTAATCTGAGTTTCTGAGTGCAGAGGTGTCGCTGTCTGTGGTGCTGAAAGTTGTTTTTAGAAACAAACTGGCTGTAACTCAAGTCCATTGCTTAATGAAAATGACTGTTAATGCATATATTTTTCGTCATATATAACCCGACCATTTGTCTCTTTCGTCTTGTGTTGTCGTTGCTGTATGAACTTATGATTTTATACGTTTGGTCGAAACGAGCTGCAATAACGTTCTGGATCGCATGGTGTCAGCATAATGGCAAATATTGTGTCTAGAACTCTTCGTCATCAGTATTAGGTCCTATCCTGTATTTGGCATTACGTGTAAGGGGCTTGGACAGGAAACTGGCATTGTGCAACCACCAGGACTGTATTGGCGATGGAGCGCAGTTTACAAAGGAATAATGCTGATTATTATTTTGTGACCAAACAATTTTAGATCCTGAAATCATCTCTCTTTTGTTCATGATGGAACAAAGCGGGCGGCAGGTGTGGATGGAGCGATGGAGATGCGTCGTGTACATGGTGGTTTTGGTGTCGTTTTGGAGCGAAGCCTCTGCTCAGATCAGATATTCCATCTCCGAAGAGGTAAAAGAAGGAAGCGTTGTTGGAAACATTGCGAAAGACTTAGGAATTGACAAGGCTACACTGAAAAACAGGGAGTATCGCGTTGTTGGCGGTTCAACGGAACCCCTTTTTCGTTTAAATAAAGACGACGGCATCCTGTACGTCAGCAGGAAAGTGGACAGGGAAGAGATCTGTGAACGAAGCAGCGCGTGTATAATCAATCTTAAAACAGTGCTAGAAAACCCTCTGGAAATCCATTATGTGGCTATAGAGGTGCTGGATGTAAACGACCACTCCCCCGTCTTTCCAGAGAAGGAGAAGCGACTGGAGATATTTGAATCGACATTACCGGGAGCGCGATTTCAGCTCCAACCTGCACGCGACCCCGATGGCGGTCAATTTACTGTTCAGCATTATAAACTGAGCCACAATGATCACTTTCGTTTGGAAGTTAAGGAGAGGGGCGAGGACCGTAAGATGCCCTTTCTGGTGTTACAGAAGCAGTTAGACAGAGAGGCTGTGAGAGAGCACAAGCTTCTGCTTACAGCTGTTGACGGTGGGAAGCCAGCGTTGTCTGGAACAATAGAAATACTCATTGAGGTGCTTGATGTTAATGACAATTCTCCAGGGTTTACAAAAGATGTTTATTCTGCCGTTTTAAATGAAAACGCAGCCCCTGGCACATTAGTTATTCAGGTTAATGCGACTGATTTGGACGAGGGCGCAAACGGCGAAATCGTTTACTCATTTGGTAAAGAGGTGGATATACATTTACAAGAACTATTTAACATAGACCCAAGAACGGGTGAAATTAAAGTGACAGGTTTAATTGATTTTGAAGAAAATGAAAGCTATGAACTTGATATTCAGGCTTCAGATAAAGGCACGATCCCCTTTTCAACAGACAGAACTGTGATAATAAAGGTAATCGACCTTAATGATAATCCTCCAGAGATTGAAATTACATCATTTTCAAAATCAGTTCCCGAAGATTCAAGAATTGGAACAACTGTAGCTTTGATCAGCGTTAATGATTTGGATTCAGGTGCCAATGGGAAGGTTTCCTGCTTTATACGTGAGGACGTTCCTTTCGCTATATCTCCGTCCATGCAAGATAATATGTACGCAATAGTGACCAGATCACATCTGGACAGAGAAGAAACATCTTTTTATGAGCTTACAATTGTTGCAAAGGACACTGGTGAGCCATCACTCTCATCTGAGAAGACAGTGAGTGTGGTTGTTTCAGATGTGAATGATAACAGACCACAGTTTTCACTGAGTCCTTATACCTTCTATATTAGTGAAAACAATGACCTGGTAGCACCTGTATTTTCAGTCAGAGCATCTGACCTTGATGACAGTGATAATGCACATATTTCATATCACATCCCAAGAGACAGCAGTGGGGATAATTCTGGTCTGTTTTTAAATATCAACTCTGAAACTGGAAATGTTTTGGCGCTAAAAAGTTTCGACTTTGAAACAGTGAAAACTTTCCAGTTCCAAGTTGTCGCCACAGATTCAGGAACTCCGTCACTAAGCAACAACGTGACAGTGAACGTGTTCATTCTGGATCAGAACGATAACGCTCCAGTCATCCTGTATCCAGTCAGCTCCAACGGTTCTGCTGAAGGTGTGGAGGAGATTCCCCGCAATGTCAACGCAGGACACTTGGTGACTAAAGTCAGAGCCTATGACGCTGATATAGGATATAACGGCTGGTTACTCTTTTCACTGCAGGAAGTCACTGACCACAGTCTCTTTGCTTTGGACCGCTATACAGGACAGATCAGAACACTTCGCTCATTCACAGAGACAGACGAGGCTGAGCATAAACTGCTCATACTGGTCAAAGACAATGGCAACGTTTCACTCTCAGCAACAGCTACTGTCATTGTCAAACTTGTGGAGCCCAGAGAGGCTTTTGCAGCTTCTGATGTTAAAAGTGCAACTAAAGTTGACGAGGAGGACAATGTGACATTTTACCTCATGATAACTTTGGGCTCAGTTTCTCTACTTTTTATCATCAGTATCATCGTGCTGATTGCAATGCAGTGCTCCAAATCCACAGACTATACTTCCAAATATCTCCAAGAGGCTAATTATGATGGGACACTGTGTCACAGCATCCAGTACAGATCTGGAGACAAACGCTACATGTTAGTTGGACCCAGGATGAGTATAGGATCTACTATAGTCCCTGGCAGCCATGCCAACACACTAGTGCTCCCTGACAGGAGGAGGGGATCTGGAGAGGTAAGATCAAAGTACAACTATACGTCTCATTAGTACTTTCCCTTTTTTCAAGTTGGGAAGCGTGTTCTGGCCATTTAGTCCAGTGTGACAGCATATCTTGTGTTGTACCTTTGTCCATGCCATTGAGGTCTTTTAGTAGTGATTTTGTCAAGTTGTGGTGATTCAAAAGAATGTAGGATAGAAAAGAGAGCTTCTTTGGATATATGCTAACAAGAATTGAAAAGATTCTTAGTTCAATAAGGCTACCATAGAAACACTTAGGTTTCTGCCCTGTCCATGGTGCTAAACGTTTGTCTCATGTGTCTTAGGCTACATCCTGGAGAGAAATAATACTTAAGTGGTTGGTGACAGGCAACAGGTTGTTTCATTTGCCGTGGGCTGCCTATATTTTCTGCTTGTACCCTCGTGACTGGAGAGGCATCTGTTCCTTGGAATCATTTTTTATGTTCTCTTTCTCTCTTATACTATATCGTAACATCGCCTGGTCCACTGGGTGTCAGTGTTACAGTAGGGAACTGCTAAAGCTTCAGTCAGCAATAGACTCAGCCCCCTTTCAGCGTGTGTTTTTCAGCTCGACCACAAAGGATGCCGTCGTTTCGGATCTGATCTGTACATTTCTAACGCGAACGTGGTTTTCTGGAATATAACCTAAGGACAACTGGAAGTGCTTTCAGTGGAAGATATCTGTCGATGCTATTTCAAATGATTACGCTAAAGGAGACAAAAGACAAAGAGGAAAAATGATGTCTTGGTCGCGCCCTCTGCTTTTCTCTCTGCTGTTCTGCTTTGACGAGCTGATTTTAGCTCAGTTAAAATACTCGACTCCAGAGGAAGTTAAACTGGGAGCTGTTATTGGAAACGCCGCTAAGGATTTGGGCCTTGATGTGAGTTCACTGACAAACAGGCGTTTTCGTATTGTGTCCGGAGCTCAGGACGCGCTGTTTGAGGTAAACCCGAACAATGGGCTTCTGTATGTTCATAAGAATCTCGACAGGGAACAGCTGTGCGATGGAAATGGTGCTTGTTTAATAGATTTGAAAATCGTTGTTGAAAATCCACTTGAAATCCATTATGTCACAGTGGAAATAACGGATGCAAACGATCATGTACCTACGTTTGCAGAGAAAGAAAAGGTTATAGAAATAGCAGAAAATACTTTAGCGGGTGCACGATTTCAGTTACCAGGCGCCCGTGATCCTGATGTTGGAATAAATTCCGTCCAGCGCTATAAACTAAGTCAAAACGATCATTTTAATCTTGAAATTCGAGAAAGGGGAGAGGATAAAATCCCTTTCTTAGTGTTGCAGAGGCACTTGGACAGAGAACAGAAAACAAACCACAGCCTGGTTTTAACCGCTATGGATGGAGGGACACCGCCAAAGTCTGCAAATCTTAATCTCACCATAAAAGTTCTTGATATTAATGATAACAGACCTACTTTTTCGAAGGAAGTGTATTCTGTGACATTACAAGAAAACGTCGGCCTAGATACGATTGTAATAAAAGTCCAAGCAACTGATCTTGATGAGGGGGGTAATGGGGATGTGGAGTATGCCTTTGGAGGAGACATTAATTCCAAGGTGTTGGAGCTATTTAGTCTAGATAGAAACACAGGTGAAATCCGAGTTCAAGGACAAATAGACTATGAGACAGCTGATGTTTTCAAGTTAGACGTCCAAGCCTATGACAGAGGGCAGCCTCCGATGACAACGGACTGTAGAGTTATAATAAAGATCCAGGATGTCAATGACAATGAACCGCAAATAGAGGTGACATCAATATCCAGCATGGTCCCAGAGGATTCAAAACATGGTACGGTGATCTCTCTTATTAGTGTTACAGACATTGATTCTGGACTGAATGGCAAAGTCACGTGCAGTCTGATAGGGAACGTACCATTTGAACTAAAACCGTCGTTCAAAGAAAACATGTATTCATTAGTGACAAAAGAAACACTGGACAGAGAAATTGTGTCACATTATGATATCTCGATAACGGCTACAGACTACGGTGAGCCTCCACTTTCCACATTCAAAACTTTGAGCATCCAGGTATCAGATGTGAATGATAACATCCCCCAATTCTCACACAGTCCCCTAGAATTATATTTGACGGAAAATAATGCTCCTGGCGCATCGATATTTTCAGTGAGTGCCTCTGATAAAGACTTAAACGACAATGCTGCAGTGTCCTATCGCATAACGAGAGGGGAGGGCGGTCATACTGACACGGCATCTTTCCTCAATATAAATCCAGATAATGGACACATTTCAGCACTAAAAAGTTTTGACTTTGAAACAGTGAAAACTTTCCAGTTCCAAGTTGTCGCCACAGATTCAGGAACTCCGTCACTAAGCAACAACGTGACAGTGAACGTGTTCATTCTGGATCAGAACGACAACGCTCCAGTCATCCTGTATCCAGTCAGCTCCAACGGTTCTGCTGAAGGTGTGGAGGAGATTCCCCGCAATGTCAACGCAGGACACTTGGTGACTAAAGTCAGAGCCTATGACGCTGATATAGGATATAACGGCTGGTTACTCTTTTCACTGCAGGAAGTCACTGACCACAGTCTCTTTGCTTTGGACCGCTATACAGGACAGATCAGAACACTTCGCTCATTCACAGAGACAGACGAGGCTGAGCATAAACTGCTCATACTGGTCAAAGACAATGGCAACGTTTCACTCTCAGCAACAGCTACTGTCATTGTCAAACTTGTGGAGCCCAGAGAGGCTTTTGCAGCTTCTGATGTTAAAAGTGCAACTAAAGTTGACGAGGAGGACAATGTGACATTTTACCTCATGATAACTTTGGGCTCAGTTTCTCTACTTTTTATCATCAGTATCATCGTGATGATTGCAATGCAGTGCTCCAAATCCACAGACTATACTTCCAAATATCTCCAAGAGGCTAATTATGATGGGACACTGTGTCACAGCATCCAGTACAGATCTGGAGACAAACGCTACATGTTAGTTGGACCCAGAATGAGTATAGGATCTACTATAGTCCCTGGCAGCCATGCCAACACACTAGTGCTCCCTGACAGGAGGAGGGGATCTGGAGAGGTAAGACTGTAACAACACTATTTTACACACATTGTTTATGATCATACACTTGTCTGGTTGTACTTTGCTCGAAGTTTGCCTCTTACTGTGTCTTTCAAACTTTTAGCATAGAGAGCATAACTCACAACAAAGTCAGATATGTCTTTTTAAGTGTCATGCACCGTCTACAACAGCCACGCTGTGCTCTCTGCTATACCCTCACTGTTTGTCTAAATTACTCCTGCATATACACACACATATATTCATGATGAATACTAACATGCCAAATACATAAACTAGCTCACCCTGTGTAAAGAGTACAGTCTTTGCACCTCATTGTGACTGCTGTCCATGGTGCTGAAATGAACGTTTTTCTATTCTCCAGGCAAAAGGAGTTTCTCGTCTGAACTGGGGAATGTGTGTTTTTGATATTTAGATCACGAGAAATTCTAAGTTATAACTAATAATTGGAAAGTCTTAACATGCTCTAGTGTTTCTGCTGAGTTGTTGAAACCGTGTTCATCGGCTTTGTTTTTTTAATTCCGAAGAACTTTTGTTATTTGAGTTAAAATCTGTTCAACTACTTGTGGTTGTTGTCCGTGGTGCTGGAACACATGAACATGTCGAACACAGATTAAATGTTAAAGAAACACAGCAAATAGTGTCATTTTTTCATCAATTAATAACCCTCTAGGCGGGTACACACTCCCCATAAGAATGCACAACTTCAGGCTTGTTGTAGTAGATTATGTAAAGTTTGCTGAACACCTCTGGGTGTCACTATAACATCAGGAAGCCACAGACTAGTTTGTCCCTCCCTCTTCAAGGCTTTTGTTTCCTACTAGAGTGAAGACGGTATTTGTATCAAGCACATCAGCAGATGGAATAACAATTCGCGTATCGCAATATGCGGCATTCAGTGGGTTGAACATAAATAACTGTTTGTGGAAGTGACCGCTTCATGTGTGTACATGTGTTGTTGGATAACGATGGGGACCGATCCAAACACTCGAACAAAGGACTGCTCCTGGTTGGCTTTTTATTTGGCTCTGCTGCTGCTGCTGGTCGGGAAACAGGCTTTGGCTCAGATAAGGTACTCTGTTCCCGAGGAGGTACAAGACGGAACTGTTGTTGGAAATGTTGCCAAGGATCTTGGCCTTGACATCACCTCTTTGATTGCTCGACGGTTCCGTGTTGTGTCTGAAAGTAAGGACGCTATTTTTGAAGTAAACCAGAATAATGGAGCACTGTACGTCAACAAGCATATTGACAGAGAGGAGCTGTGTCAGGGCAGCGGTGCATGTCTCATGGAGCTAAAAATCCTTGTTGAAAACCCTCTGGAAATACACTATGTAGTTGTAGAAATTACTGATGTAAATGATCACTCTCCTAGTTTCCCTGAAAAAGAACAGACATTTGAAATAGCTGAGCATACATTACCAGGAAAAAGATTTCAGCTTCATACCGCCCGTGATCCCGATGCTGGAATTAACTCTATACGTACATACACTTTAACATCAAATAATCACTTTGAGATCGATATCCGCCAAAGCGACGAGGATAAAATACCATTTTTAGTGCTGAAGAAATCGTTAGACAGAGAACAAAAGAACAAACACACGCTGCTGGTTACAGCAGTTGATGGAGGCAAACCTCCAAGATCAGGGACACTGAATGTTTCTATTATTGTTCTTGACAGTAATGATAATCGTCCAATGTTTAGTCAGGAGATTTACCAAATTGAAATACAAGAAAATGTTCCAATCGGTACTTCAATATTCAGAATAAATGCAACGGATCCCGATGAAGGCACAAATGGGGAAATTCAGTACAGTCTTGGAAAAACATTGAGACGAAACATCTATGACATTTTTGAGCTAGACAAATTAACTGGAGAAATCAGAATTAAAGGGATAGTAGATTATGAAGAAAACGACGTTTACAAACTCGACGTTGAAGCATCAGATAAAGCGACACCACCATTAACAGGTGAGTGTAGAGTCATTATAAAGACAATCGATGTCAACGACAATGCGCCGGAAATAGTAGTCACATCACTTTCAAATACAGTGTCTGAAGACTCAAAGTCTGGCACAGTTGTTTCACTACTTAGTGTAAAGGATAAAGACTCTGGTGTCAATGGAAAAATAATATCGAGCATAACCTCAGAGGTGCCTTTTGAATTAAAGCCCTCCTATAAGGAGAACATGTATTCAATTGTTACGAAGGGATTTTTGGATCGAGAGGAGGTGTCACATTATGAAATAACAATAAAAGCTACAGATTGTGGTGAACCTCCCTTATCTACTGTTAAAACTCTCAGTATTGAGATATCAGATGTAAATGACAACAGTCCACATTTCGACCAAAATCCATTACAGTTTTACCTGGTAGAAAATAATGTTGCTGGAAATTCAATATTCTCTGTCAGCGCAACGGACAAAGATTTGAATGAAAATGCAGCTATTTCATATCATATTGTGAGAGAAGAGAGTCAGAGTGACGTCATGTCTTTCCTCAATATAAATCCAGATAATGGACACATTTCCGCGCTGAAAAGTTTTGACTTTGAAACAGTGAAAACTTTCCAGTTCCAAGTTGTCGCCACAGATTCAGGAACTCCGTCACTAAGCAACAACGTGACAGTGAACGTGTTCATTCTGGATCAGAACGACAACGCTCCAGTCATCCTGTATCCAGTCAGCTCCAACGGTTCTGCTGAAGGTGTGGAGGAGATTCCCCGCAATGTCAACGCAGGACACTTGGTGACTAAAGTCAGAGCCTATGACGCTGATATAGGATATAACGGCTGGTTACTCTTTTCACTGCAGGAAGTCACTGACCACAGTCTCTTTGCTTTGGACCGCTATACAGGACAGATCAGAACACTTCGCTCATTCACAGAGACAGACGAGGCTGAGCATAAACTGCTCATACTGGTCAAAGACAATGGCAACGTTTCACTCTCAGCAACAGCTACTGTCATTGTCAAACTTGTGGAGCCCAGAGAGGCTTTTGCAGCTTCTGATGTTAAAAGTGCAACTAAAGTTGACGAGGAGGACAATGTGACATTTTACCTCATGATAACTTTGGGCTCAGTTTCTCTACTTTTTATCATCAGTATCATCGTGCTGATTGCAATGCAGTGCTCCAAATCCACAGACTATACTTCCAAATATCTCCAAGAGGCTAATTATGATGGGACACTGTGTCACAGCATCCAGTACAGATCTGGAGACAAACGCTACATGTTAGTTGGACCCAGGATGAGTATAGGATCTACTATAGTCCCTGGCAGCCATGCCAACACACTAGTGCTCCCTGACAGGAGGAGGGGATCTGGAGAGGTAAGACTTTAACAACACAGTTTTATACATTATGCTTACAAGCATACAATTCTTTGGTTGTACTCAAAGTTGGCTTCTCGTTGCGTCTCTAAAACACTCTGCACAAAGAATACACTTCACAGCTAAATCAAATATTTCATGTCAAGTAAGTTTGTTTTTTGTACAGATGCTAATAGGTTTGTTTGAGCTTCTATTGTCTCTTCTGTCTCGTTAATATACAAAGCGTTCGATTAGAAAGACAAGTAACAGTGCAAGTCAATAGAAACATGCTGGGAATAGCAAGGTAGCTCCGTTTAGAACAGCCACACTGTACTCTCTGCTTATCTCACCGTTTGTTTCTCCTGTACATGCACACACACTGTTCCAGGTGGTTCCAGAACAGTTCAGCTTATATCCATTGATTCAAAACTTTGAATATATTGCAATGTCCCTGTTGATTTGATTGAGCAAAATGCAATGCCTTAGCTGTTTTGATACTGAACTACTTTTGCTATGAGAGGAAAGGGTTGTGCAGCTACTTGTGATTGCTGTCCATGGTGCTGGAAGACATGAACATGTCAATCAGAAATGCAATGCTTAGGAAACACTTGAAAATTACATTGTTACTGATCAATTAATAGCCACCTGGGCAGGTGCACGCTCCTTATATGAATGCATTATGTCAAACTTGTTTAGTAGAACATCTAGTAGAGCTTGTTGATTACCTCTGGGTGTCACTATAACATCAGGAAGCCACAGACTAGTTTGTCCCTCCCTCTTCAAGGCTTTTGTTTCCTGCTAGAGTGAAGACGGTATTTGTATCAAGCACATCAGCCGATGGAATAACGCATCGAGTTTCGCAAATATGCGACTCTCAGCTGGTTGGACATAAATTATTGTTTGTCGAAGTAACCGCTTCATGTGTGTACATGTGTTGTTGGAAAACGATGGGGACCGATACAAACACTCGAACAAAGGACTGCTCCTGGTTGGCTTTTTATTTGGCTCTGCTGCTGCTGCTGGTCGGGAAACAGGCTTTGGCTCAGATAAGGTACTCTGTTCCCGAGGAGGTACAAGACGGAACTGTTGTTGGAAATGTTGCCAAGGATCTTGGCCTTGACATCACCTCTTTGATTGCTCGACGGTTCCGTGTTGTGTCTGAAAGTAAGGACGCTATTTTTGAAGTAAACCAGAATAATGGAGCACTGTACGTCAACAAGCATATTGACAGAGAGGAGCTGTGTCAGGGCAGCGGTGCATGTCTCATGGAGCTAAAAATCCTTGTTGAAAACCCTCTGGAAATACACTATGTAGTTGTAGAAATTACTGATGTAAATGATCACTCTCCTAGTTT